AAAAAAAAAAAAAAAAAAGTGCTTTGCTATAAGTTTTCATATGGAATCTCAGATTAGACTTCAAAAGGCCTCTCCAAGGCTAGGAAGCCAAGCCAAGAACTTACCCTCAAATTGTGCCTGTAATACCTGTAGACAAGTGAATACCTTTCTTTCCATGGTTTACAAAGTATCTTGAGATTCCTGGCCCTGTCAGGAAGTGACATTAAGTAACCATGTGAACCATCTATTCATAACAGGTCAGCAGGTCAGCTCCCCCCCCACAAGGGGCTTTTATTGGTGCCATAAAGTCAACCTCATCTGGTCATATATGAAAATGTGACATTTAAGTCAGAGTTTTGGTAATATGACCAGTGTTTCCAGCTATGTCCTGTTACAAGACAAACAGATTGTTTTTTGACTTATGCAAATAACTATGTTGCCATAAAATAATAATACTTACAAATGGTGTTTGAAATTTGGAGGGCTCAGGTAGGGAAAGAAGGGCAGGTATTTTAGTTTTACTCACAAAAGTATACTTTACCAAACTGTCGCAGCTATTAATAGCTTGAGAAACAAAAGTCTCTTTAAATCTGGAAAACAAAACATAAAAAGAATCGGCAATGTTTCAATCAAATAAGTTCATTAAAACATCATAGCCCTTCACCAGCTCAGTCCCATGTAATTAATTCTTATACTGCTTGGTGTTGGGTTAACTGTTTTTGGGAGTTTTTTTTTAGTCGGAGTCTCACTCTGTTGTCCAGGCTGGAGTACAGTGGCATACTCTCGGACACCCCAGCTTCGACCTGCTGGACTCCGGCAATCTTTCCACATCAGCCTTCCAAGTAGCGGGGAATTACAGGCACATGCTATCATGCCCGGCTAATTCTTTTTTCATTTACTGTAGAGAAAGGTCTCACTACGTTGCCTGTGCTGGTCTTGAACCTGCGGACTCAGGTAATCCACTCACCTCGGTCTCCCAAAGTGCTAGGATTACAGGCTGAGTGGGTTAACAGTTTTATTGTTCCTGGATAAACTAGTCCAGCTGCTTCCCT